ACTCTTTACAATTGCCTGTAAACTGGCATAATAAACATATTATTATTATATTTTAGGTCTGGGGGCCATGTCATTCCTTTCGACATAGAAACGCTTGCAGCAAGAACAAATAAAGAAGGTATTTTGTTCCAGTCGTCAATGGGATGGTGGGGAAAGAAGTAGACATTGTAGCGGAAAAGTCTCTACAAATATACAAAACGTCTTAGTAAAATACAATGGAAAACTTTCTAGTGTAGAGCTAACAGCTAGTGACTAATCTACCAGACTACACTAATGGAAAAAGGGGATAAAAACTCTATATGAGAATGGCAATAAAAATTAAGGATGATACGACTCACTTAGATCCTCCACGAGCCTTATCAACAGTAGCCAAGCGATTGACTTGCCAAAGGAGGGGTCCGTGAAGGCCTGGGTCGTAGTTCGTCGAGTCGCACTCGGAAGAGTTGAGAGGAATCTCGTTCGTAAGTGGCCGTTAGTTGCTCCTGAGCCCGGAAATGATCACCAGAGAATGGTGTCGTTGAAGGGCAAAGAAAACAGCGGCTGGTGAGGTTGAAAAACTGTGAGAGTTGAGGTGGTGTATGCAAGGAGTGATGAAAACTCTGCACGCTGTAGATATCAAAAGTGCATTTTGGGTGGCTTGCGTTGAAACAAAAATTAATAAGTTTTGGTAAATTTAAACAACGTATAGGTTAGGCTAAGGGCCTACGACCTGCACTTCTAATTTGGCAAGGTGTTTCTTCGGTTGTTTGGATGATCTCGGAGATGTGTAGTTTCTGTTAATCCAAAAAAACCCAGCCATCTGAAGAGCACAGTCTAATCTGAGTTTGAAATCTATGACAATATATCCTCTGTACTGTCTATAAGAGAGAGGAAAAAGTGTGAACCCTCCTGGTCGACCCTCGTATGGCAGGCTTTCCAAGCCGCTGACTAATTTAGTCGTCCTTCAAGAACTTTTTTCCAGAGCTGCGTTATCTTGTTTAATCCAAGACCACTATGCCTGAACGTACTATTCTAACATCGGCTAGAAAAATGTTCAAAACACTCGCCCAAAAATCTCCGCATCAAAACAGATGGAGGACTTAATGATGGCTCCTACGATGAACATAACCCTCCCTGCAGTCTAAGCAAACTGAGTTGATGGTTTGAGAGTGGGCATCATACATACCCCTAGATCCCTTAGTCCGTTCACTTGCTCCAGATGGTGACCTTTAATATTTTTTTCAGCATCAAATCATATAACTTTTCTGTAAAACGACCTCATGAAATGTTCGCAGGAGGCGCCCAAATGTAAATTTTCATAATAGTGGCAGAGGAAGTTGAGGTTGGCACATATCACCTGGTCATGTCTCCGGACGTAACATCCAACGGGGTTGTTACTTACCGCAGTCGCACAGGAATAGAAATAATGAAGCATATTAGGCCGGCACCATAAAAACTCTCCTATTGTAAGGCAAGGATAAGGTATAAAATGGAAAAAAAAGGATGAAGGTACAAAATAATGCCAAGGTTATATGCAATCAATTCCTTTGCAGTGAAGGGCGGTCACGGAATATCAAATGGACGCTGGTGGAGAGTGCAGAGATGTGGGCAACAGTGGGTGAGGACCGTGCAGGTGCTGACGAGACAGGGCATACGGAAAGACACGATAAGGGTAACGGGGAAACGAAGTGAGCGATGGGGAGGAAAGGAAAACCAGTTTTCTTCCCCAATAAGCGATTACATGACCCTTACCCGGAATCCGTGTGAAAGTGACTTTGGCAGTGTAACGGGCCGTTGATTTGTTTGAACGTTATAAGGTCATATCTTTTTTGGTTTCAATTCTCAGAGCTTGCTGAGTCACATCTTGGATCCGTGTGTTGGGCTACTTCAATTCGCGTACTAGATCGATTTCGTTCTCACGCCGTCTCCTTACTACGTCCCTACCGTCTCGAGCGGATGAACATTCTCCTTCCGGTTTGGTCTTTTCGTCCACTTTCGATTTTGTATTATTAGAGACTACCATCCCCAGATATATTTCCACTCGTTTTTTTATACTAGTTTTTCCG